AATCAGCAGACCCTTTCAAGATAGGCACTTATGCCAGGGTTCTCTTGCCTCTCTGGATTCATTCATTCACTTCATTTATGTTTACTTCTAAAGCATTTTCTTTCTTGCCAGCACAGCAATGCATTTTTTTTTTATTGTATTCAACATTTTCTGTTATTTTTCAATGGTAAGTTTATTTAGGGCATCTCCATTTTTTTTCAAGCTTTTGGAATCTTTTGCTTTCAATTCCTTTTTTAAATACAGCAAATTTATATTTTGGTACATGTTGTACTCTGAGTCATTTTCCCTTAATAGATGATTATATCCCGTTTACCTTTATTGAAAGTCTTTCTAAAGTAGTTTGTAGAGGAAAACATTAATTTGTTCATGTAAATTAGTACAATAATTCTATATTAGTATCCAATAGGAAATTACAAATTCTAGATATGTGAAACTAATTAACACCGGAAAAAAGTAAAACCCGATAACCTTATAGAAATGTGGTGTTCCCGTGGTGGCTCATGCCTGTAATCCCAGCACTTTTGGAAGCTGAGGTGGGAGAATCAGTTGAGACCAGGAGTTTGAGACTAGCTTGGGAAACATAGCAAGACCCTGTCTCTACAAAAAGAAAAGAAAAATACATGTATTAGTCTCAGTTAAAGCTTGTATAAAGAAGCAACAAAAATGCTCAACTATACAAATGCATGGGTAAATCCCTGAACCTTAATATGGGAACCATAAAAGCAAATGTGAATATGGCATTTCAAGACTACATAACTAAGAAGCAAGCCAAACTATAGAATAAACTAATTCCTATAGAATCAATACAGATAAAGCAAATATAGCAGTAAAAGTGGAACAAAGCAAGTTGCAAAATCCTGTGAATGTGAATAGATTTCTATGTAGCCATAGAACTTGTAGATTAACAAATGGTTCAAGAAAAACTGGTGCAATGGAGATAGAAAAATGACTTCCAATGTTATGATTGCTTTTAAAAAAGACAACTATTCACTTATACATATGTATAACAAGAAATAAAAAAGTAAGAAATCTAATAGAAATTGGCTTTTGAATGACCATAACTATGTGACAAAATAATTTTAAAGATATCAAATTCTTCATTCTCAAAATCTAGACAACCATTTCTGCTAGAATCCAGATTATATACTTCATCTGTGTCACTCATTCATTAAAAGAGTCATCAGTCCTTTAAGAGTCATCAATCATCAGTGGTCTCCAACCTGTTTGGCACCAGGGACAGGTTTCCTGGAAGACAGTTTTTCTACAGACCAGGGGATAGGAGGGATGG